CCCACTTAATAAAACTCAGCTGAACTGATTTTAAGAAAACCTTCATGATAATTTCAATAACCTTTAAAGAACTTAAAAGTAATATATGCTTTAGAATATTTAAACAATACATAATGGATGGATAAATAAAAAGTTAAGTTTCTCCCATCTTTCCTTATTTATTCTCTTGAGGGAACCAGTATTTAATCTGGCGTGGATCCTGTCATGTCTTTCATGTTTATGCAGAAATATGTATACAGAGTTTAAAATTTTTTTCAAAAATGGGATATTTTATGCATCACTTATGCCCCACATCAGAAAAGTCACCTTTTTTTTAATTTTAATTTTTTTCTATTTATTGCTAGAGATGTTAGTGAAGCACACATGCAGCAGTGTATGAGTGCCTCTTTCTCCTTGCACTTGTCATTAACAGTTTTGCGGTCTGATAAGTAAATATTGATAGTTGGTGTTTTTTCTTTAATTTGAACAACAGATATTTTATATTGTTGAGATTAGGATTGAATTGCTGAGTTGATGTTTTTTCTGATACTCTGAAGAAGTGATTGCTGTGGTAGAATGGGCTTTGTTTTAAGGGAAAAAAGAATTTCTGTATATAATACTGTTAATTTAGAATGCCCACTTAAATTAAGGATAGGCTCAGTAAAATTCCTTTATCCCTGTATAGGAATGTCTGTTTTTTTTAATGTGTATGGGACATTTTTCATACAAATAAATGAGACTTTTAAAAATCAAGTGCCCATCTGTATATACAGGGTGGGGCAGAAGTAAGTTTTCAGTTTTTATGGAAAATAATACAGTAATTAATAATAATACAAGAATGAACTCTGTTTTGCATTCTCACAACTGTCTACTTACTTTTGCCCCACCCTGCCACCCTGTATATGTTCCTGTTCATCTTTTTTTTTTTTTTGAGTTTATGTTAGTATGTGGTATGAAGTGTGAATCCATCTTTTATTGGTTACTAGGATCTTACAGGTTTCAACTGTACATTTCTATGATACATGATCCATATATTGCATTGTGTGTCCACCACCCAAAGTCAAACCATCTTCTGTCACCGTAATATTAGGCTCCCTCCACCGCCCAGCATCTCGTGTTCATCTTAAGAGTGCTATTTTGAGGGCAAAGTGGCTTTGAATATTACAGGGGGAAAATATTAGTAATATTGCTTTATGTCTTTGGTCTATTGAGATCATTTTTTAATGGAACATAAAGCATTACCCTTTTTTGTTTTTGGAATAGCATAATAAAGTATAGCATTAATTTAATATTGCATTGTTATTTGTAAAGATCCTCAAGATGAAAATAAAATTGGAATAGACGGTATACAGCAGTTCTGTGATGACCTGGCACTCGATCCAGCCAGCATTAGTGTGTTGATCATTGCGTGGAAGTTCAGAGCAGCAACACAGTGCGAGTTCTCCAAACAAGAGTTCATGGATGGCATGACAGAATTAGGGTGAGTATATGATTATCAAAGGAAAGTAGGCACATTACTATGAGAATTACTGTGGAGCTGAATTATGTTACGAATTTTTAAATGTAAATTTATAAATTTATTGGCCCACAAGCATTGTTATAAATAGAAATTGGCTAGTATGCTAATTCCTTCCCATGTTAACCAGCTTTCTGGGTTTGTCAAGCTATCTGTATAGTTAATACAGCCTGTTCCATTTGCATTGTACTTACATCATTTGTATCTAAGGGAGGTTCTCCAGTATTAAAATAAGTTACTATGCTCTAATATTTAACAAGATAGTCATATGAGCATGTTTTAAGTTATTTCATAATGTAAGTCGTCAAATTATGAATTTATAAACAAATTCCTAGAATTTAAAATCTTAGAAGTTACTTTTTGTTCAGTTTTATCTTGACAGCTGATTAGCTTAAATGTCTTGGGATAAATAGATTGAAAAGTCACTGGTAGAGGTTTTACCTATGGCCTCTAGTTGTCTGTATTTAATGAGGCTGCAAAAGTGTTCAGTCTGTGGATAGGTAACAGGCTGCCCTTTGTTTTCTGTGGGTGACTATTGAATATAATGGCTAACATTTGTTGAACATTTTATTGTATTTCAGGAGCTATGCTAAGTAAGTACTTCACCTACCTCTTCACAATAACTGTGTCTGAGAGAAGTGTTTAATCCCCATTTAAGAGATGAGGAAACTGAGGTACAGAGAACAAGAATTAGGCAGGATTAGAGCCAGAATTTGAACCCAGGCATTCTGACCTTGAGCCTGAGGGACATTGTAATCAGTCAGGATCCAGATAAGACACAAAAACATATCAGTACTTTGAATAGGGCAAATTTAAAAAATTGGTTTATTATGTAAAAGGGGTAAAAGAAAGCTTTGAGGTATAACAGAGGTGGCAGTTGCAAGAAGCTGCCACCACCCCTAGAGCTGAACAAGCAGGGAACCTAGAAACTGAACAAATCCCCGCAGGGATGTCGGAGGAGAGGGCGCGGCTGCTGCAGAACACGGTGCCTGTGATGCCGCCTGGCCGGCAGCTCTGAAGAAACTCGCCAGAGGCTACTTGTTGTGGGGCCCCATGAGTTGCCACCATTGGCAAACACTGCTGGGACCCTCCAGAACACTGAAACCCTTGCTCTCTGCAGAAAACAAACTGGGATAAGAGAAGTTCCTTCTTCCTCTTTCAGCCTTTCATTGCCCTCTATTAGTAGAACCTAACAGTGAGCCAACTGGCAAAAAAATAAAATCTCACAATTTATAGTCCACAACAGATGGTCACAGTTTAGGGCAAGGAAGAGTGGGTTTAAAGTTGAAAGGCAATACAATTAATAACTGGCCTAGACACTGTGTTCTACAGCCAAAGCCAGCCCCATTCTGTTACTTGCTACAGTTTTCTATGCTAGGACATGTCATTAGAGCTCACTTTTTTTTTTTTTTCCTTTGAAACTGAATTTATGTACAATGTGATGAACTTCCAAATCAAAATTTTAATTTACAAACATTGATCTGGGAAGTGCCATAAAGAACATGGAAGGAAAATAAAAGCAAAAAGATGAGAAGAAAAAGTGGAATGATTGGTTTTGTGGAATCTATAAGAAATAGAATATTTCTACCTTAAGGCCATTATGTGGTACTTGGACCCTTTCAACTCCGTAGAAGTTGAATGCTTTGCAAAATGTGCAAAAAGCTTACTGTGGATCTGAGCTAACTTCAGTTGCAGATGGTAGGGGGCTCAGCTGATACTTATTATACTTTGTATATAACAAAATAACTTTTCAAGAGGAATGCATTCTCACCTAAGTAAGACTATGCTTTCAGTTAGTTTGAAAGCTAGTGTTTAAACTGGTGATTGTTGATGATTAGTATACATTCTCATCTGTTCATGTCAGCTGACTTCTACATTTCAGGTGTGTTAATAGCCTAGTGAATTATGTAATTAAAAGTAATAGCCCATTTCTTTTAAAAATAGTAATTACTTCTATTTAATCACTCCAGGCCTTTTCTTCCAACAACTAAACTCGTACTTGTTTATGTAATATAAAAAGAGAAATTTCAGTTATCTGACTTTTAAAAAGTTTTATGAAATATAAGCTATCATAAGAATAAGTTAATTCCTTCATTTATAGTGAAAAAGTTTATCTTTTATAAACTTAATTTTACAATGTAGATGTGACAGCATAGAAAAACTAAAGGCCCAGATACCCAAGATGGAACAAGAATTGAAAGAACCAGGACGATTTAAGGATTTTTACCAGTTTACTTTTAATTTTGCAAAGAATCCAGGACAAAAAGGATTAGGTAAGAATTTTTAAAAATTATATTTGGTGTTTCAAATACATTCAAATACATTGACAGTGGCACTTCTGTTTTGTAATAAAAAGTTATGTGTTTTGAGCATAAAATATGAAAATACCAGTTTCTGAAAAACAACAAGAAACAATGAACTTCTGGTTACTCAAAAAATACTGAGCACATTCAATAATAGGGTTGGTTACCCTGGATACGACATGTAAACCACTGTTTTTTATTTTATTTTAAAGAACTGTACAGAAAATAAATAGCTGTTAAAATTCCCCTGACATATGTATGTACATTTGTTTACTTCCCAGAAGATACTGTAGGATTTCAGATCATAAGTTATTTCACTGTGGATCTGTAGAATAGCATTGTAGGATTCTGAATCATAGAGTGGTTTATTTGAAAATCATAAGAAAGAATAAAAAAGATGATTAGCATTCATAATTTTATCCTGAAATAACTACTGTTAACAGTTTCGATCATTCTATACTATATGTAATATCTATACATTTGATTTGGGGATGGTTAGGGGATGTGGAACTTTTATAAAAGCTACAGTGTAATTACAGTTATCTCAGAAAGATTGGACAGTAGCAGATAATATAATGTGTGTGAGGGTTTTAGATAAAAGTAGAAATGAGTAAAAGCAGGAATGGTTGGGACATGCTTCCTGGGCAAGATGGGGTGTGAACTAAAGGGTTTGCTTTGGCTGGGCAAGGGAAGCTAAAAGATGTTCCAATGAGAGGATAGTTATGAATGAGGGTTTGAAGCTTGAGAAATAAACTTGGCTTTGTGGAAGCCAGAAAATGTTGACTTGATTTTCGTGGGAATGCTTGTTTGGAGATTAAATTGGTGAAACACGTTAAGGCTTAGTAACCACAGGCTTCTTTTAAACACAGGACAGAAAGGTTTAAATTGGAATTTGTGGGCAGTGGGGATGCACTGAAGATTTTGATGATGGCAGTAACTTCCATTTAACATAAGCTTTCAGTATGTCTGGCATTGTGCTAAGTACTTTACATACACTGCCACATTTAATGTTTAACAACTTTATGAAGCTATTCATTCTTTCATTCAGTAATGCACCACCTGCCGCGTTCAGGTACATAATAATAGAGTGCTAGCCATTTTTTATCCTTACTTTGCAGATAAGGAAACTGAGGCTCAGGTAGGTTAAATAAGTTACCCAATGATTGAAGTGAGTTTGTTTTTGATTTTGAATACACAGTAGTTGGAGAGGCTATTATGGGCCTCTTGTACTAATCCTTTCTATTTTAGATTGGGCGAGGGAAAGCTTTGAGAAAAGGAAATGTGAATAGAGAGTAGACTGAAGAAGTGATTGAGAGCTAGTGAGGTAGGGTGAATGTGGAACATCTGTACAGGGAAATTGGCCTTAAAGGGTGACCACACATGACACTGATTAAAAATTTACAAAATATCTGTAAAGCAGAATTCTAAATAATGAAGCCCCATTTCCAACTGATTCTTCAATTTAGATTGGATATTCTTACAGAAAAATATCTCATTTTGCAGACAAAATAAGTTTGTATACCTAGGGTTGGTTTCTCTATTTTCTGTATGTGGCCACCAGTTAACTGGGCTGTTATTTCTAGTTTCCTTTTCCTTTCTACAAATAAAAACCAATTAAAGTCTTTAATTTATACGTATATACTAAAAGAATTATTTTTGTTAATACGTTTAGAAACATAGCACAATATTTTGGTAAGATTAAGCAAAATGTTGTGAATATTAATGATTTAAAGGGGCTGAATCTGTTTCTTAGTTATATCCCTAGCCCTTCTGGAGTAAAAAATAAATGATATTTTGGGGTAAATATATAGTTTTGATAGTGAATCTTAGTTTTTATTGTATGGTGAAAATAAAGCAAAATAAAACTTTTATAGCTATTGGATATGTTAATATCATGGTAAATTGGAATTTTAGATTACAGAAAAAATTGAGAAGGTTATGTAGAAGCATTAGATTTAAAAATTAACATTTATTCTTTTATCTAGTAAGTATTGCATTTAAGAAAAATGTAATATTGTTTAGTGGGTATAGAGTTTTTGTTTTATAAGATGAAGTTCTGAAAATTAGTTGTACACAGTGTGAATGCACCTAACACTACTGAATTGCACATGTAAACATCCTTAAGATGATACATTTCATGGTATGTATATTTAACCACAATTTAAAATTTGTTTCTGACCTCCTCCCAAACCATAGATTATACAACACAGAAGGAGCCCTAATGTAAAATACGGACTTTAGCTAGTAAGATACTATATTGGCTTATCAATTGTAAAATATTAAAAATACTGGAAATGGGGGGAAGGGAGAGAGAGGTTTATGGGAACTCTCTGTACTTTTCTCTCAATTTCTCCATAAACCTGAAACTAAAACTAAAAACATCTTAATTAAAAAAAGAAAACTGTAATAAAAGTAAATCATAGTTTCTCTTTTTGTTTTGCATTGGTGCTGGGTGTCAGGAAATGTAATGACTTGTTTAGTTGAAGAACTTAATTAAAAAAAAAAGTTTTCTTGACAGCCTTTCAAAGGGTTTACAGGGCTGATATGTTAAAGCATTTGGCAGAGAGTAATTAGAAGATCGTAGGAGAGGAAGTGAGGCCCAAAACAAATTGCGGAGAGTGACAGTGACAGCACTGTGGTTTCTTTATAAATAGCCGTACTAGTGATGGTAAGAGCTGGTGTTTTCCATTTTTTCTCACTGACTATAACCTTATTTCTTGTGACAGTAGGATGGGGTGCTTCCTCTATCACCCTCTGCTTCAGTCACCTCCCATTTCTGATAGTTTTTTGAATCAAATTTTTGAAAGGGACTTCATAAGTCCTCTGTTAAATCCATCCTGTCCAAAATAGCATCCCTATTTGATGTTCATTTAGCTTTTCCTTTTGAACATAGAGAGACTGGGCACTTTGTTTTGGGCAGCGGTCCATGCTCTTCACAGGATACTCTTGTTACCACACAGCTCTTCCTTATTAAGGTAACATCTGTCTTTATAACTGTCATTCTTCTTTGCCCTCTGCTACAGCAAAGAGGATGTCTAACCCAAAAGATCACTATTATCCCTTCTCCTTTTTTACAGGTCAGGATTCCAGTTATTTTAACTATTCATTTGAGGCGACCTTTATTATTCCTGTTACTGTCCCCCCTGGACATATTTCTGGTTTTTCAGTTTCTCTCAGAATAGAGCTGTTAAAGCTGAGCATAATATTTCAGATGGAGGCTGTTTAATGTAGAACACTATATGGGTCTGTTATTTTTTTGTGGGACTGATGATTAATTGGTCAAAAATTACATTTGTTCTTTAGCAGCCCTGTCATTTTTAGGACCATCCTGAACCTTAATTAGACTAAAGTCTGTAGGTTGTTTTCTTGTAAACTGTGTTTTTCAGTTAGAATCCTATACCTGTGCAGTTGATTAAAAATTTTTTTAACATTATTTGTTAAACATTTTCTTTAATATTTAGAAATAATTGTATAGAGTGTTTCTAAAGCATACTTTCATCTACATAATCCTCCTTGGTTCTTGTAACAACTCTTCGAGCTAAGTAAAAAGAAATCTGTTACCCTCTTTCCATGAGGAGGAAAATCCTGGTCAGAGAGGCTGACTTACTGAGGTCACAGAACCTGAGTTATGTGAGTACTGCGGCTCAAGTCAGATCTTCTGACTCAGTTTCTGCATTTTCTAAATTACTATGTTGTGCTAACTGTAGATATTTCTCAGTAAATTAAAATGTTTTGAATAGGATTTTTAATCACTCTTCCGACCTCCCTAGTGAGTTGGCAAACGTCTTGCTTCCCTTAGGGACAGTGTTTGGATCCAGTCTTAATTCATTTTCATGTTCACCTGGCACTCAGTTGATCATCTTGTATGAAATCCACGTTGGCCTGTTGATTCTATTGAAAGAATAACACTAGGATTACCTCTGTTTGCATTTTTAATTTTACTGTAAGGGCTTAAGGACTTACTCTATAAGTATCTCAGGTTTTTGCAGTGCTGTTGTTGAGACCTGTGTGTCTCGTTTTCTCTGTATCTTCCTTCTGTTCTAACTGCTTTATGTCTTTTTGTTATTTTACTGTTGAATTCATTCTTTTCAGTACTGCTTCAGAATCTATAATTGTAATTTTTAAAAATTATTAAAAAGAAATAATAGTAAGGACTCATTATTTACCAGGCCCTATTCTGAATGTTTTATATGTATTAACTCATTTAATCCTTACAACAACCCTGTGAGAGTACGTACTATTATTTTTATTTTAAACTGAATTACAGAGATGTGAATTCAGTTGTCCAAGATTAACTAGTCCTAGAGTAGGGACTTAAGAGGCTCAGCTACTCCGTTAGAGCACTTCTCTCTAGCCAGGCTGGCTGTTCACTCTGTGACTCAGATGTTGGGGCACTTTTTCCTGTGCTCGTGGCAGTTGACATTTTATCCCTTTTCGGTGTAACCTGTGTGTTTCAACTCTTAATTTTAACTTATTAATCTTTTTGAGTATTCCTTTTTCACTCAGTGGTTATTGACTGCTTACTCTGAGAGCATGGTGTCAGGAGCATCTGAAGTCTGTCTGGATGAGTTTGCAAAGTGTGCATAGAGATTGACTTACACCTTTTCAAGGACAAAATAAAAAGAAATCATCTCCACTGTGTAGAGATTAGTAGGTTTAATTGCTCAGAGGTGAGAGACAGCACACCTTTGAGAAATTTCAAGTGAGTTCATTTGACTAGAGATGTAGATTTTATCTGAAGGCAATAGGAAATGAAATCACTGCAGATTAAAAAACATTTTTCAATAAACTTTTTTTTTTTTAATTTTTTTTAGCTGTTTTAGGTTTATAGCATTCCCGTAGTGGGGTCTCCCGGCCGGAGCTTTTTTGGGCATTTAAATTCAGCTCTACAGGCATTTACTTTTTTGCCTCTAATCTATTTTTTGAGTTATTTATGAAAAGTAAAAACATTTATAAAGAAAATGTATTGTTTATTATTAAAGTTATCTTTTAATATATGTTACTGATGTTAAAAAATATAAAAATTACATTTACAATTTAAATTCCATTTTGCCGGGAACTAAAGTTCCCTTTCGTCCGGTAAAGTTTAAGCAGAAGGTACAGAGATTTCCCATAGACCCCCACCTTCACTCACGCATAGCTTCTCCCATTATCAACATCCCCCCGCATCATTGTCACCCAAAGTTCAAGTTTACATTAGGGCTCATTCTTGGTGGTACATTTTGTGGGTTTGGACAAACATATAATGACTTGTATCCACCATTATAGCGTCGTACAGGGGCGTTTCACTGCCCCAAATCCCCTGTGCTCTGCCTGCTCATACTTTCCTCCACCCTCACCCCAGCAGCTGCTGGTCTTTTCATTGTCTCCTAGTTTTGCCTTTTCCAGATGTCATACAGTTGGAATCGTACAATATGTAGCCTTTTCAGGTGCACTTCTTTAGGTTTATAGCTTAGTAATATTAATACTCATTTGTTTTCCTCCATGCTTTCTTTGATGGCTTGATAGCTCATTTTGTTTTAGCACTGAATAATGTTCCTTTCTAGGTGTACCATAGTTGATACATCTGTTCACTTTCTAAAGGACATCTTGGTTGCTTCCAGGTATTGGCAGTTAGGAATAAAGCTGCTGTAAACACCTGTGTTTGTGTGGACATAAGTTTTCAGTTCATTTGGGTAAATACCAAGGACTGTGATTGCTGGATCTTATAGTAAACTTATGTTTAGTTTTGTAAGAAACTGCCAAACTGTCTTCCAAAGTGGCTCTACCGTTTTGCATTCCCACCAGCAATGAATGAGAGCTCCTGTTTCTCCACACCTTCGCCAGCATTTGGGGGTGTCAATGTTTTGGAGTTTAGCCTTTCCAAAAGGTGTGTAGTGGTATCTCATTGTTGTTTTAAACATGGAAGTGACACCAAATTTATATGTCTGAAAGCTCCACCGGAAAGCACTTCTGGTTCTTTAAAAGGAGTAGTGGCAGAACTACAGGGAGAGACTGGTTATGAAGCTGTTGCAGTGATTTAGCTAGACATGAAGAAGCCGCTCGTGTGGGCCTTGCCAGTGGGATGGAGGGTAGAGAGAGCTTCAGTTGGGAATCTGTGATGAGAAAGGAGTTTCCCTACCATTCTCAGCACACTTAGGGGATATTTGGAAGTGTAGGGGATGCTTGTTGGTTGTCATGATGACTGAGGGTTCTGTGACATTAGGGGGATGCTGAACGTCCTGCCATGCATAGGACAGTTCCTCACAATGAGAAGTTTCATTGAGAAACGGGAGGGTGATGACACTTATTGAGAGAGATGGAATGGCAGGGATGTGGAGGAAAGATGAGTTCAGTCTGGGCCCTGTTGAATTTGAGTTTTTTATGGCTACCCATTTGAAGATGTCTGTAAGCAATTAGATGAATCTAGAAAAATAGAGACGTTTCAGATTTAGGAGTTGTTAGAGATGGTGGAGCATGTAACATGAAAAAAAGGTAAAGGTTTGAAAAATCTGAGGGAAGTGGAAATGGTTATTGCTGACATGCGGTCTTATAGAGCACCAGCATTTAATGATCAGTGGAGGAAGAGGAGCCCATAACGAGAACACGAGGGCTAGAAAGGACAGAGGAAAGTCAGTAGTGTGCTATCATTAAAGCTGAAAGAGGTGACAATTCCGTCCAGGAGGTGTGCTCAGTTCTGGCAAATATGGCAGAGAGTGAAGTGAATTAAGGACATAAAGGTGTTTATTTGGCAACCAGAAGGGTCTGGTAACTCTCCAGAGATTACTTTCAGTGGGGTGAGTTGTAGCGGTGGACACTAGTTTATAGAATTAAATAGTGTGTAGGAGGTGAGGAAATGGGGCAATGAATGCAGATCACAAAAAGGTCTCTTTTACAGCCTCAACTTTGAAACGTCACACATGCACTCTTACTCTTGTCAGAGTCCTCTGTTAGGTATTAACTGACAGTGGGCATTTATAGGTGTCTCATGACTTGCGGTTATTTGAATATTTCATTGTTTCTCATTCTTATTTTGTAAAGATTAATTAAAAGGAAAAAATGATAACACTAGTGACAAGCTTAGCTCTTATACATTTAATGCATTCGGAGTGAAGAAGGAAATCATTAAGCATATTAGTAACAGCAGATCTTACTCTGTTGGCTAATAACAGCAGTTTTACTCACTGCTCTTGAAGCTTGACAATATGTGGTAAAGAAAAGAACAAAATTAAAGAACCTGGAAGGAATATTGTGTATAGAGCTTTACAGACTGCAAAGATTAAGAAGGAATTGTGATTAGGAATTGGTGTCATATTTCTATTCTCTTAAAAGGTGGGGATCTGAGTTTGACTTCCAGGCATGTTTTGGGAGCACATTATGTGTAAAAGTAGAAGACTCCATGTAACCAGATTATATCTGTGAAGGGAAGGAGAAAGAAGGTAGCTAGTAAGGTACTGTTAAGACCCAACAAAGACTTTTTAAAGATAGGTGATAACCTGAGCATGTTTCTTTGTGGAGGGGGGAAAGCCAGAAGATGGCAGAGTTGAAGATGTAGGAAGAGAGGAAAATTAGCAGTAGACAATAGACAAGATTCCTTGAAGGGGCAGGATGGTACTGGATCCAAAATAGTGGTGTTAGGGGCTTATCCTTGGATAGGAGGGAAAAAAGGCACCCTTTGCATTGAATTTAAAGGAAGAAGTAATGATGGATTGGAAGGTAAGGACATTTGCACATGGAGCCATAGGAAGTGCGTGCATTCCGCAGCCTTGTAATGCCTGCTGTGTGTCCAGTCTGCCAGTTTGGGTATGTGCTGTTCCTGTCCTTAAAGAGGTTGAGATCCTGGGAAGATGGGGGATTTTTTTCCTTATGGCCTTTCTATATTTTTCTTTGAGGTAGGATGTGAGTCTTTCTGGATACTTCCCTAGTCTCTCATGATTCCTTAGATTATCAAGAGTGGTTTGGAGCCCAGCCAGGCGTGGCTCAGCGGTTGAGCATTGACCTAGGATCCAGGCGGTTGGGGTTCGATTCCTGGTCAGGGCACATGCGCAGGTTTTGGGCTCGATCCCCAGTTGGGGGCGTGCAGGAGGCAGCCGATCAATGACTGTCTCATCATTGATGTTTCTCTCTCTCTCTCTCCCTCTCCCTTCCTCTCTCTGAAATCAATAAAGATATACTTAAAAAAAAAAAAATGATCCCTTCTTAAAAAAAAAGAGTGGTTTGGAGATTGTATCTAAAAGGACTTTTAAGTTACTTGAGATGTAGTTTTTTCTGACCTGGAGATGTAAGTTTACTCATAAAAGCTTCATATTTCCTTAATTGCTTTAGTTCCTTGAAAGAGATCATAGGTCTTTCTCTCTGTCATACGACAGGAGTAGGTCTTTGTCAGGTGGCACTATTGCTTCTTTACCTTTTCTGTTCCAAACCCAATTAAGTGGTCATTATATCATTTAATAAAATTTTTAAAACAAATCTTTATTTTAATTTTTAAATAAAAATTCTTAATAGTCTACTTGAGGACAGGATCAGACAGCTAAGCTAACATCTGGAAAATTGGTTAGGATTGTGGATAGCAATTGTTTGCCTTACCACCTGTAGGTGTACATTAGTGGTTCTCATCTGGGGGCAATTTTGCCTCTCAGGGGACCTTTGGCAATGTCTGTAGACATCTTTGGTGGTCACCACCTAGAATAAGATGGGGCTGATACTGGCATTTGGTGGTTAGAGGCCAAGGATGCTGCTTTTGCTACAATGCATGGGGCATCCCTCCACAACAAAAAATTATCTGGCTCAAAATGTCAAGTGCTGAGGTCGGGAAACACTGGTGTACATTAACATTTGAGTACTTACGAACTAGTACTTATGAACAAGCATGCTTATTTACATTATCTAATTGAAACTTCAGAAACACCCTATGAGGTAAGTGGTATTCTTCTGAAGGGACTGTTCATTGGTGATAGAGCCAAGATGCAAACCTTGGGCTTACTTCTTAGGAAAATTTCAGTATGTAAGTATTTAGGGCACAAACTTTTTTTTAAGGCTATCTTTGGTCTTACCTGTTTTTTTGTTATTTTAAGGACAAATACTCATGGCATTTGACATACATAATTTGTTTTTAATATTACAGATCTAGAAATGGCCATTGCCTACTGGAATTTAGTGCTTAATGGAAGATTTAAATTCTTAGACTTATGGAATAAATTTTTGTTGGTAAGTTCATGTTTTCTGCAATTCCTTGTTTTCTCTAAAATTTTGTTTTGTTTGAAAATAAATAATTTAAAGCATGATTGACTCATATCAGAACATATAATGAGCATAGAATGAGAAATGTGATTACCAGAATTTCTATGTACGAGTCGGTTTGCATTCTTGTATTTAGCATCATCTGGACTGTTTTTTTGTTTTTTCTTAAAACTCTTTTTAGTGATTTGGATTTTTTTTAATAGGAACATCATAAACGATCCATACCAAAAGATACTTGGAATCTTCTTCTAGACTTCAGTACAATGATTGCAGATGACATGTCTAATTATGATGAGGAAGGTAATGAAAAGTTTTACCCTTCCAGTTTTCTGGGGTTTTTTACCTGCCATTTTTTCTCATATACTTTTGAACTTCCTGTCTACTCTGTTTTTCTTGGAGTTGGATTTCTCTTTTCTGAGCTTTTTTTGTGCTCTTCTGAATGTATGAAATGCCTTCATTCTCATTAACAATCTATATTCTGTTACATTAAATACCAACTCAGTAGTCAGATAAGGCATGAGTAATTTTCATTCATGTTTGAAATTTTCGGTTTATTTTAGGAAACCTGTTCTCTTAGGAAATTACTTTTATTCTTATATGTATCTGTTGTTATGTTTGTATTGTCTGTGAACTTGAATAGTAAGTACACTCCTGAAGTTTAGTGACTGTCTAATTTGAAATGTACTTCAGCTGCTGACTGGAGTACTGTTGGCATTCGATAAATAGTCACCGATGGAGCGCTTTTCTGTTACTCATGTGAAGTTGACGCTACCATCTGCCGCCTGTTTTCCCAGAAGTGGCAGCGAGTTAACACTGATTTCTTCACACATACCTAGTCCCACCGTGAGAATGAGCAGGATGTGTTTTTGAGATTGTTGGATAGACAAAGGTATTCTTTGAAAAATCTCCGGTGACCTTCACCTCCTTAAATTGTCCTGGAGCCATTTAATCTAACCAGAGATGATGTTATTTTATTCTCTTTGTTTTCATTGTAATTTATAGTCTTCACTAAAAAGTAAGGAGTCTAATCTTGCATGTGACTGATAATTGTGCTGTTAGGCCTTACACGAAACTAAAGAACTTTCTGATTTAGAGGTTGTACAGAGGCATGCATGTGTGTTAATTTAAATTTTTTAGTAATTATCATGAAATAGGATAGATTTCAATACTTGCTGTTAATTTGCTTTGTAAGATTTCCACAAAGTGCCTGAAAATTTGTTTCTTCCTGCCTACTATGCTGTCAGCACTGGCAGCATGCCAGTATACCATCGCTATTCCTGAGGCTGCCAGTTTTGACCACATTACTTCAGTGGCCTGACTTCAGTGGCTTTCAGAAAACCATAATATTATTGACAGATTATCAGAAGATTATTTTTATCATTCAAGAAATGATCAAGTGTTGGAATAATAGAGCAGAGAGAATACAAGAAATACTTTAGGTAGAAACTCTAAAAAGCTTGAATTTTGAAAGTCCTATCAGTGGGAATATTTATAATGATATACTTTATTAAGTGGAAGGTAGTTAAAAAATACAGGAATCTATTAAAAATGTTAGTCTTATTTTTGCTTTTCTTTCTTTCCTTTCTCCCATATATTTTCCCCCCAGGAGCATGGCCTGTTCTTATTGATGACTTTGTGGAATTTGCACGCCCTCAAATTGCTGGGACAAAAAGTACAACAGTGTAGCACTAAAGGAACCTTCTAGAATGTACATAGTCTGTACAATAAATACAACGGAAAATTGCACAGTCAATTTCTGCTGGCTGGACTGAACTGAAGATCAATCCTCGTAATTCAGACTGAGGGTTGAGACAAAACTTTAAGGATACATCTTGGACCATGTCGTATTTCATTCTTCTAATGGTGGTTTGGGCTTGTCTTCTAGTCTGGGCCGCTCTAACCATTTATAATTCCAACATTGTGGATTTCATCATATCTGTGGACCATCCTAGTTTATTCTCCCATAAGTCTTAGAAGCTTTATGGTGATTATTTTGAGGTTTCCATTCTTGCATAAAGCACAATGCTGTCTTCATCAGAAAACAGTTTGGCATAAGAATTAAACATGAACATCACAAACAGTTTATAAAAACTTCTTAAATATATGCTTTGGGCTAGTTGCAAAGACTATGCTGATAGCACTTCCAATGAGAGTGATATATTTAAGTGTACCGGATCTGGAATGGTGTTTTGGTTTGGGGGATTTTTTTTTTCCTGGCAAATCACATGTATTGTTGATGTGAGTAGAGAATCTGATGGAAAAATGTCAAAATAACCAACGTGAAAAATTTTTAGGATAACTTCGTGTGCCTACCTGAACATTTTATTGTGTTTCAGACCCTCGATTTAAAAAGGTTCCACAGAACTAGTCTGCTTATCTTACCCATGTTTATATATAGTTGTCCTACAGGGAGCTTCTGTTTAGAAAATGTCTGCATAATGTTAGATTCTACTCCTGTCTACATTATGCATTACATAATTGGATTTCATTATGATTTTGAAATGCTTATATGCCTGTTGAATAAGTTAAACTATTTAATTTGTTTTGAATGTTTTAGACTGCTACACAATACAATATTCTAAATTTAGGCATGAGGGTTTATTTTTTGTTTTTGGTTTTGGTTTTTAGCACACTATGGAACAAAAATGAAATTCTCTTAATTTATAAGAAGATAGGAATTAAATTTTGAAAATGGTTGTGATGAGCCATGAAGTTCAATCCTTATAGGTACTGCTCTTTCAGACAAATAGTCCATTTTTGATGACTTCTTATTTTGTTGAAATTGCTTTAACTGCTAATCACTGTGGTTGCCAAATACTTCAGGAGCAGAGATTTCCAAGCATGCACTTGATGCAAAATACCAATCTGGCTTCTATTTTCGTAAATTATTCAGTCTCTTTACTGTTTTTGTTTCACTCAAATTTGATATTTTCACATCAAAGCAGAATTCTCTCTTGTATGTATTATTTTCACTACAAGACCTATGAACTGCTTTTATGCTGAAAATGCTGATTTCCCTGTTCACTTTCTGACACACGAAGAAGGGTTTATTGCTTTTTTAAACATTTCTATAAGGTAGGTTAAAAAATGTAAAACTTCAAATATTGGATGCCTATGGACTTGAGCAGGAATAGATTTTGCTTGGTGTATCCAGGCACTCTCTAAGGTCTAATGTTGAAATTATCAAAGGAATGTATTTCAGATTAGCAGTATGTTTTAGATGTGGAAATGATTTTAAGAACAGTGACATATTAAAACTACTTTTTATTCACATGATTTTGAAATTGACTAGAAAGGCTTCCCATAGATCTTATATTAATATTCCAATCATATAATTCAAGAATTACTATTCTTCCAAAAGAAAACTTTGAAAATTTCTATTTAGGTTACTGGAATTGGTTAAAGGAAGAAAAAAAGAAGACTCCTGCTGCTTTCCTTTCAAGTATTTCCTGATTTCATATTTGTAAATATAAAGAGGAACTTCAATTATGAAAAAATTTTAAAGATATATATGTACTATTTTGTTTTCTGTCTTGAAGATTTTGAGTTATGGTATTGTTTTCAGATAGATTAATTCGAATATGCTGTGTCTTGAAATGAGATCCCATTAGCTTTCACCCCCCAAATATAAATTGTTTTTCATAAAAGTCTGATATTGGTTCATGGCCTAGTGCCTTGGGTTTTACAGACTTTTTCTTTTAAATGTAAGACCTTTTCAACAAAATAGTATTTGTCATCAGTTTGGTACTAAACATTTATAATTACTGTGTAATTATAAACAAAAATACGTAATCTTTGAATATAATTATGTAGCATAAAAGTTAAGGTTGTTCACTCTATGATGGCATCTTAGAATTAAACAATACTATTACTAGGGCTGAAAAGAAGACTGATTTAATGTGGTATGATTACTCTGAGGATAAATGTCTGGTTACAGGGAATATTCTGTACTAAAAATGCTTACACATGGACGTGTGTGTGAGTGCGTGTGTGTGAGTGCTTGTGTGTGTGAGAGGTTGAAAGAGACACGCTCACACACACACAACTTGAATTGCTTTAATTCGTTAGTGTTTCCATCCTCATTCTGGTAAACTCCCCTTGCTGATTCTTTGTTTTAAACTGAACCACAGGTACAGTTTCCTTTTTGCCAAAACAGGTACACATTTTAAAATGTAATGCTTTTTAAATAGTAAAGTGTATAAAATTAGAAGTACCCACATATAAAAATCTGGAGATCAAGATTATCTTTAGTGACTATCATCTGCATATCTCTGTAAGTTCAATTGTGTTTCTTACAATCCCTGTCATACTACCAACAGAGGCAATAAAAGCTTCAGTGAAATTGCCATGACTAAATCTTTTCACATATTATTTCAGTGTAATATTTTTAAAGACTAAAATATACCTGAAAACTTATCCAGGAAGAATAATTATTCATGGAAAGAGCATTGTAATGGCAAGTGTTAGGGAGAAAAGACATGCCAAGTCTTGTTTACCACATTTAAAATGTTTACAACTATACTGGGCTGCTTTATTTAATTAACAGTACTGTAGTTGTGTAATATGGCATTGTAAGTATGTGTTCTTCATTAGACTTTTTAAAAGTTTTAATGAGAGAAAGTAAACGTAATAAAATACATGGGAAATCTTTTATATAATATCCGTACTGGGGAATTCTTATTTAAGCAAGGTATACTATTTTTTCCTCAGAAAGACTTCAGTGAATGAAGTGTTCATCTATTTTTTATTTGATGATAAGAAGTTGGAGTAGTTGTAGCTAGTTTAACGTGCACTTTGCTTAGATTTTTTAAAACATGTTACTAAGACTACGTATTGTAAACCACCTGTAACTTTTGCTTATGAATGACAGAAGTTAAACCTAATGAAAGAATTTTGGAATAAAAAAGGAAAGTGGTGCTGGGGAAACTTATTATAGTTCACAAAGTATGCCTTTGTAAACCTGAATCAACTTTTAGCAAGAATTAATTTATGTAGTTCTAAGTGTTAAATTGTGTATATTTAATAGAAAATACTTATTTGGCACCTCAGCAGTTTTCTTTAAATGTTACTTTATACTTTTAACAATATGATTTATATTGAATACATAGATGTTTTGATAAGATTTTATCAAATTTGATAATGTAATGATAAAATGTTTTAAAAATGTGAACTATTTAACGTATATCTTAATAATTGAGGACACAATACCTGGATTGTGATTTCTACATAATGTGATAATTAGGGTTCAAATTATGGCTCATCATTTAATTGATTATAAACGAGTATATTTCTGAACTCTTTACTTGCCTCCATTTTTACAATCATATAGCAATAATTTCTATTTATAGAAATGTGAAGTTCTGCATCACGATACCTTGACCTTTGATTTCTGAGGGGAAGGGGTTTGTATTTGACAGTGAAGTTAAATTTGAAAATTCCTAATAGGACACATCCCCTTTTCCAGGCTTATCTTTACTGTTTTTGCCATTTTGGTTGAATAATTGGCTGGATTTGTACCTGGTTCTGGAGGCAGATAGTGCCCTTGTTGTTGTTGTTTCTTTAATCTCATAATACGGTTACATCAGTGGTTTTCCCAGAGCATTCTTGCCATCTTTCTTTCTTCCCGGCCTGCTGGGGAATTGGCAGTTCCTGCTGACCAGCAAGTAGATGTGGCAACTTTCCACCAGGCTCAATGTTTTGTGTTAATGTGGCTTTTGACTTCTGGTTGCCTTTTTTTTTTTTGGGTAAATCTGTCTTAAGTAAGGCAATTATGATGAAAGGTGCACAGCATTTGTAGTAGATAAAGTTCCTGAAAGTAATGTCTGTACTTAAGGAATTTTAAAGGCATATCATTTTGTGAATCATTATCATTTTTAAAATTGAGATTCTGAAAAGTGTATTTTTAATTTAAGTATATCCAAATTTTTCTTGTAAGTTTTGCTTAAGTATGTTTTGTTTTGTATTTCTGCTGTGCAGAAATCAATGCCGCATGTCCTAGAACATTGGTTTTCAAGCCGTGCCTTAGGGCGGCTGTGTTTCTTGAGGTTGGACATAGCAGGTAGGCTGACTCATCTTTCACGTCAGCTGTAGCTTTTTACTTTGTTCCGTGTAGAATTTGCATTGCATAGGAGATTTGGGGGTGGGGGTGGGGAGCGGGATGGGGTGTTTGGTTTAAAAAAAATTTTTTTTTAAACAGTTGGCTTAGAGGGAAATCCTCTTTGGCAGATTTTTCAGTGGAATGGAAAGAGATGGGATCAGACTGAAATGAAAGCTGGCCTGATCATAGAAGGCAGCACTGCTTTGAAAAGAAGAATCTATCAAATAAGTTTAAAGCAAAAAAGAATTTGAACCAAAATAAAAGAAAGCTTGATTTGAATAAAAAAATTGAAACTTAGAGGCAGCATGTGAGTGGCTTAATGGCCAAACAAAAACCAAAAAAGGATAATATTCATTTTATATTTAGAATGTATATATGTATTTACTTAAAATTTTATTTTAGATTATGAAATATTCTAAGAAAACTTTGTATCTAATGGGGAACTTGGGCAATAACAAATGGGTTTTTTTACTAAAAGGAATATGATAGAGCATAAGCTTGGGGGAAAACCAAGTGGCTAAGAGGAAAATGCTAACGTAAGCTGTAGATAGTGACTTGTTAACCTTACACACCGCTGAAGGAGTGATACGTGATCAGTGAGGTTTAGCGATGTATGTACTTGGAATCCTTTAAAAATAGCATGTTTAGTTTTTAAACAAGTGCCAATAATACTCTTAATCCTGATAGTATATTAGAATTCATTATATTGAAGTTATATGAAATGCATAGCCTGTCAGCCAGAGCTTTAGTCATTCCTAAGACTTCGTTGTGATGGTACTTCAATAGTTTTATTGAAGTATAATTTGCACACCGTAAAATTCACCCATTTTAAGTATATGATTCAATAGTTAGTAAATTTATAGACTTGTACAGCCATCATCGCTGTCTAGTTTTAGAACATTTCCATTGGCCCATAAAAGTTTCCCTCATGTTTCTTTGAATTTACTGCTGCTAGCCCCAGCCCTAGGCAACTACACGGATCGGCTTTTATAAATTTTCCCTGTCTAGAAACCACATATAAATGAAATTAATACAATATGATGTCTCTGTATCTGGTTTTTTTCAGTTGGCATATGTTTGAGGATCATGCATGCTGTGGCATACACCTGTGCTCGGTTCCTTTATGCAGTGTTCCACTGTGGGGACGTCCTGCATTTAGTTTCTCTCCACCAGCTGGACATTGGATTGTTCACATTTTTGTTCTGAATGCTATGAACGTTTCATACATGTCTTTGTGTGGACATATATTTTCACTTAGGTGGATTCCTAGGAATGTAATTGTTACATTGGTTGGAAAATTTATGTTTAAATTTCTAAAAAACTGCCAAACTGTCTTCCAAAGTGGCTATATCATTTAAAAATATTCCTACCACAAAGCATAAGGGTTGCAGTTTCTCCACATTATTAAAACTTGTGGGTTTTTTTATGGTAGTCATTCTGGTAGGTATGTATTTCAAGGGTGCAGGTTATATCTAGCTATCCTACCTCGTGTGTCTATTGGATGTGCAGTTTGGGTGAGTATGAGGTGGCCTGAGAGATGTTGTAAAATTACTTAAGTAGATACGCACTTTCTTGAAGGTAGTATTTTTTGTAGCCAGTGAGGGGCAGTTATTACCCCTTCCAGTGGGAGCTCTGGTCCCTCAGCGAGCTGGGGTGGGATGGCCTGCGTAGGCGAGGAGCGGTGCGGAGGGCTGCCTTTGTGCCGCTGCGTCGTGGTTGGTGCGGCCTACCCGGGTAGCCTGTCACTCGTATTAGCTAAACATTGCGCAGATAACTGCACGATACGCCACAGCCTCATCAAGTTTCCCGGAGTTCTTGCTCTGCGGTAACTGGGAATTCTTAAATTTGTAAAAATTTAGTTGGTGGTGGTTAGTTGGTGCCAGTTACCTGCGTTCTTACACATAGTGGACATTGCAGTAGTGTTTTTTAAATTTTAAATGGAAAATTCCAGATATACACAAAAGTAGAATGGTATAATGAACCTACTTCAGCATGATCAGTTCATGGCCAGTCTTGATTTATTTGTATGTCATCCGTCTTCCCAATCCAGACTTATTTTGAAGTCTTAGATAGCAGTTGCTACATATGTCTAAAAGATAAAAACTCTTACATAAAACCACAATACTAATAATTATCCAGTCAGTATTTTAAATTGTCTCTGTGTGTTTTTTTCCAGTTCAAGTTAGGAGTCAAAGAAGGTCTATAACGTTGCCTGTAGCTCTAATCTTTTAACCTGTGGGTCTCCATACCCCCCCACTCCTTGGCTTGGAATTCATTTGTTTGAAAAGCAGTGGTTGCTTTAAAATTTTAAATATGCAATTTATAATTAAAGTGACATTTTATATACTTAAAATGTATTCTAGAAAATACTTTCAAAGTTAATGAAGTGTATAAAATACTGTGATAATTATATCAACATTCCACTAATTTAAAAATATAATGGGATTTGTATGCAGAATATGTAAAGAGCTTTTATAACTTAACAAAAAGACAATCCAGTTTACAAATGTGCAAAGGATTTGAGACATTTCTCTAAAAATGATACAAATGACCAGTAAGCATATGAAAAGATTCTCAACATTAGTAATTAGGGAAATGCAAATGAAAACTACAGTGAAATATCACTTCATACCCATTGGGATTACTTCGATCAAGAAGACAAGTATTGATGAGGATGCTGACAGATTGGAACATTGGCGGGACTGTAAAGCAGTTCAGCCTCTTCGGAACAGTTTGGCTGCTGCTCAAAAAGTTCAAGTTAGCACATGACCCAGCAATTCCAGTCTTGACGATAAAAGAGAATTGAAAATACATATTCACACTTCAGACCCTAGTAAACACCGTTCTATTTTGCGTCTGTGAGTTTAACTATTTTAGATACTCATATAAATGGAATCACAGTGTCTTTTTGTGATGGCTTATTTCACTTAATGCCCTCAAGCTTCATCCATGCTGTAGCATGTGACAGGAATTCCTTCCTTTTTAAGGCTCAATAATCCACTATATATATATATATATAAAAAACACATTTTGTTTATCCATTTATCTGTCAGTGGCCATTTGGCTATTGTGAATAGTACTGCTGTGAACATAAGTGTGGAGACGTCTCTGAGACCTTTTAATACTTTTGGATATATATCTAGAATTGGAATTGCTGGATCATATAGTTCTGTTTTGAATTTTTTGAGGAGCTGCCATACAGTTTCCATAGCAGTTGCACCATTTTATAGTCCTACTCTCAGTACACAGGGGATCTAATTTTTCCACACCGCCACCAATAATTTTTGTGTTTTCTTGTTTTGTCATTTTTTTTTTTTTTATACTAGCCATCCTAATGGGTATGAAGTGATAACTCGTGGTTTTGATTTGCATTTCTCTGATTAGTGATGTTGAGCACCTTTTCATGTGCTTGCTGGGCATTTATCTTTGGAGAAATGTCTATTCAAGTCCTTTGTCCATTTTTTAATTGGGTTATTTGGGGGGTTTTTGTTGTTGAGTTGTAGTTTTTTGATAGTCAAGATATTAAACTTCTGGCCTAACGTCATTAAGTCCAATGTTTCCTATTGATTTTCTGTCTGGATAATCTATCCATTGGTGAAAGTGGGGTAGTGAGAAGTCGCCTACTATTATTATATTACTATTTCTCACTTTAGGTCTGTTAATATTTTCTTTAAATAAAAAAGGTTTTTTTGTGTGTGTGGAATCTTTAGGATTTTCTACATAGAAGATTGTCATCTACAAACAGGTAATTTTACTACTTCCAATTTAGATGCCTTTTATTTCTAACTTGCCTAAGCCCTTTGGCTAGGACTTCCCGTATCACGTTGAAGTGGCAGGAGTGCGCATCCTTCTTGTTCCTGATGTTAGGGGCAAAGCTTTGCATCTCACCGTTGAGTGTATTGTTAGCTGTGGGCTTTTCATATATGGTCTTTATTATGTTGAGATAATTTCCTCCTATTCCTGGTTTGTTGAACGTGATGGGGTTTTTTGTGTGTTTTTTTTTTAATCAGAAGGGGTCTCGTCAAATGCTTTTCTGCATCAATTAGGGTGATCATGTGGTTTTTCTCTTGCACTCTGTTAACGTGGTGTATTGATTTTCATATGTTGACTCATCCTTGAATTTCAGGAATAACTCCCACTTGGTCATGGTGTATATTTTTTTAATGTGCAATTAAATTTGGTTTGCTAGTATTTGGGG